GCAGGATGGGCAGTGCAGCAGCAGGCCTGCGGAACCACTGTCCAGTGTGGAGTGTGGGCCAGGCGAAGAATCCATGAAACAAATGAAACTGTAAACCACTGATGTGTGTCAGCATTTGAGGAAATTTATTCTTCTGTCACAGAGTTTGAAGATAAATTGACAAGTACACAGAAAACAAAGCAAACCAAAAAAATGAGGCAATTTTTAATAACTTGGAGGAAAAAATGGATAAGAAACATAACCATAACACATCATGAGGCTCAGCTATGAATACTATTTATTCAGTCATATAATGTAAATGTTAAAAACTGATATAACCAAAAATTGTGATATAAAACAGACTGGGGGTTGTAGGGAGAGTACATGATGTGTGTGGGGGGCAATACAGAAGGAGGACCCAGGAGAGCAAGTCTATATCTTCCACAATTTGAAATCGCCAAAACTCAAAACTAGAAAATAGCAGTACACATACAGTATTTAAAAATATGGATGTAAATATTAGAAGACACAGATAAAAAAGTTGAAAGTGACTGTCTCTGAGGAGACACCCCACGGCATTATGAGGCTTGAAGTACTTACTTTTAAAATTATGTACATTTATGACCTTGATAAAAAGTAAAAATTAAATCCAAAATAAAAATAATTCAATTTTATATGAAGGTCAATATTAATTAGTGAAAACAACTAGGACATGGGGCAAGTTTGTTATTTTTCGTTATCCAGCCTTAATGGTAATTTACTACGTTGCTTGGATTCCCTTCCCTTGGTTACCTGGGCTTTTTGGTGGGGGGTGCGCCATCACTGAAGAATCCAAAAATCTTGTCTATATCGGAGGCCTGGCTCCCTGTAGAAGCCATCCAGTTTCTAAAATAGATTAAACACCATGGACCACAATTAGATCTGTAAAGTAGACCATTTAAAACAGCACATACATTAAGCAGTTTTAAGAAGCTGCACACCCTAATGGTGTTTTAGAGGCATCCTCTGCTTAAGGGAAATTCATTAGCTAATGTGCCCCAAACTTAAGGAATTAAATTCATCCAAAAGAAAGTAACCTTGAAATTATGACTGTGGTGCTCCACACCATCATCTTGCTTCTGTTCCTGAAGGCCCCCCCACTACCCGCCCACCACCAAAAAACCAAAAACCAGGGTCAACCCCCATCAATTATTGGCCATCACTTTGTAAAGCTTGAGAAATCCCTGTTACTCTCCCAGGAGGCAGGCTTGGGGAAGACTCAGGGAATGAAAACAACCCATGGATTAGTGTGTTAATAGCCCCCAATTATCCATTTACTGTCACCTAAAGAAATCACTGGGTCAAGAACAGAACAATCAATACTAATTTGCTGATTGTTAGACATTCCTCGTTGCTGGACAAGTGTGTCCTCGCAGCAGGGAGGCATGTCTTTCTAGCTAAACACAGAACGGACTGAGACTCTGAGATCAATGGGAAAGGCATTATTAAGCAAGGATGTATGAAAAATGACCAATTATGTCCAAGTGATGGGACCATTAGCAAAAGTAAAAGAATTAACATGGATTAGAATGAGAACTATAAAGAGACATTTTAGACGCTCGAAATTTTACTGAACTTGCTAAATCTAAAAACCATTAATTCTAAAATAGCAATGTTTGGGGCAAGCCTTCGTGGCCTAGTGGTTAAGTTTGGCACACTCTGCTTTGATAGCCTGGGTTTAGTTCCCGGGCACAGACCTACACCACTCCCCTGTCAGTGGCCATGCTGTGATGGTAGTTCACATAGAAAAAGACGAAGATTAGCTCAGGGCAAATCCTCCTCAGCAGAAAAAAATAAAAATAGGGGCCAGCCCCATGGCCGAGTGGTTAAGTTCGCACATTTTGCTTCAGCAGCCCAGGGTTTCACCAGTTCAGATCCTGAGCGCAGACCCAGAACGAGTCATCAGGCCACGCCGAGGTGCCGTCCCACATAGCAGAACTAGAAGGACCTACAACTAAAATACACAACTATGCACTGGGGGGCTTTGGGGAGAAGAAGGAAAAAAAGGAAGAGGACTGGCAACAGACATTAGCTCAGGTGCCAATCTTTAAATAAATAAATAAATAAATAAATAGTTGGGGCTGGACTGACGGCACAGCGGTTGAGTTTGTACACTCTGCTTCAGTGGCTTAGGGCTCACGGGTTCAGATCCTGGGCATGGAACTACACACCGCTGGTCAAGCCATGCTGTGGTGGTGACCCACACACAAAAAATAGAGGAGGACTGGCACAGATGTAAGCTCAGCGATAATCTTCCTTAAGCAAAAAAAAAAGGGGGAAGATTGGCAACAGATGTTAGCTCAGGGCCAATCTTCCTCACCCTCCCAGAAAAAAAAAGAGCAATCTTTTAAATAGTGTATACACACACAAAAAACAGAAGACAATACATATTACCAGAGTTTGGGTGTTTTATTACTTTTCATTGTCAATTCTTAGAAAGAACTGAATTACCAATAAGTATTTGAAATTTACTGTTTTATTAAAAGGTTTTTTTCTTTATTAAAACACTTTTTAAAGTTTGCTGAACTAGTTTTTCTGGTAAATAGAAGGCTCAGTTCCTCACCCCACATTCCATCACACATAACGAAATTCTCCTTTCATATCATAATCATTACGAAACTAGGAATCAAAAAATCACAGAAGTGAGTTAGGATGTAGATCATCTTTCTAGTCAAATCTTTGATTCTGCTGGTGAGAAAGCTGCAGCTCAGACAAGACAGATGCATTACTTAACTCAGAATCTTGCCTTAATAATTATCTGAGATGCCTGTTAAAAGTCTATGTTCCTAAAGATAAATTCTATTAGTTCATTTAAAAGACAGCATATATTCCTGGGCTCTAATCCCAAATTACCACTCCAGAATCGCCAGAATCTTCAGGGGATTCTTATGATGAGGCAAACAGGAAACATCTAAATGAAATACAAACAACTTTTCTATAATCAAACTATTTTGCTAAACGCAGGACGCCCACCAGGCACACTATATGCCATCCTCCCTTCCTTTAACTGTACACATTACTGATCACCATCTCACAGCCTTCCAGTTTGCTAATACCAACAGGCAGGAGTTGATCGCCATTAAAATATCTCCATGCAGTTCTAATTTACGCGAAGTCGTGTCCCACTCTAAAGTCTAGTCTAGACTGGAGAAGTAGCGGTAGAAGAGTGGGTACTTCCACCACACACAGGGCAACCCATTAGTTTGGGGATATTTTTTAAAAGTACACAATGGAAAAGTGTATATGCTTATGCTCTTTCCTTAAATTCGGTTCCATAAATCCATCATCTGAATAAATTATGCCCATGTAAAAAATAATATGGAGAAAGATGAAAATAAAGTATAGAGGAAAGTAATTTACTGTTTACTAAGTTTTGAAGACAGACACCTTCAGAATTCAATGCTCAATTCAGCTACTAAACCAAAGTTTTAACAACCTCTCATATAGTGCTTATCACATGCCAAACACTACTTACAAATATGAACTCATGCAATCCCCATAACCAAAGGAAGTACTCTTATCACCCTATTTTAGTGATGAGAAAACTGAGGCACAGACAGGCTGTGTGCCATAAGTCAAACCAAGCCATCCGCCTCTACGTCCCAAGTTCTGGCTCTTACCCACACTATTACAACCTAAAAACACTCTCCAAACAGTGGCTTCTCAGCCTTTTTGTTTTTAATCTGCAGTCCAAAACTATCAAAAAAAAGAAGCTCCTACATTCTAGAAAGCAGATTTACTTGAAATAATTCTGTGATGCTTAGTAGATGCTGTATGACTAGGCACTCTGCTGATGCAATGGCAGTCAACTAAATTGAGAAGCCAAATGAAACATTTTCTGATGACAAGCATGATTTGTTACGTTAACCCCCCCCCCCCCCACCCACTAATCCACCAGAACCCTAGAACACATCGATCATTTTCTCCTGGAAAATACGCAAGGTCATTTTCATGGGATTCTATTGCTGTGAGATGGCCAATTCTGGGTGTCTACAACCTGAATACTAAGTTTTTTAATTTTTTTCTTTACAGAGTCAACTGTTCTGAAGGTCCATTCATTCCAACTATATAATTTAAGAGAATATGGCCAAGAGCTCCTGACAAGTTATTACTGGAAGGTTTTGCCTCCTCTTATTTAGGGACTGAATGAGAAGTAATGCAATTTGCCTGCATAACATATGATCACATACTCATCCTGTTTTCTAACAGGATCAGATCTATTCCTCACTCTGAAGCATGCCTTGTGTGATACAATCTCACATGTACTCCTCACTGGCATCTAAGTATAAACCATATCTTATTCCTTCCAGGGCACTGTTTCAGGAAAAAAATCTGTTTTAGCATTTACCCTAAACAATACGCAGTTACTGCTAAAGAGCTTCGAAGCCAACTGTGAAAACCTCACAGAGAATTCCTAAACGTGCATCAACTGGTTCCCACATTACTTTCTTTACGTGATCACTATTTAAGTTGTCATTTTAGTGAGATTTGCTATGTATAGCAGAGGTGGAAAAAGCTTTTCTGCCACGAGAAAACAAAAGCAATTACCTGTGGCAGTACTTCATCACTCCAATTACTGCTAAGCTGCTGAGAAATCCTTCAAAGCTAACAGAATTCAGCAACATAAATGTCAGACACTCAGTAAATGCTGAGAAAAGCAACAGCAACCTCATTAACAGATTTTCTAAGGCTTAAGTCTTCATATAAGATAGGACACACTTTGAAACCTGGCAGCTTGGCAGGAAATAGAATGCTTATAATTGGTGGATGAAAAAGGGAAAAATCAAGGTAAGTGTTCTAGGAAAAATCTATTAAGAAACATGGAAAAGAGACTGTTCATACAAATGAAATTAACTTGGTACAAACTAGAGGACTTATGGATTTGAAAACATCAAAGAAACCCAGAATCCCAGTCGTTCTTGCTTTCACAGCATCCTGGTGCTAGCAAAGATAGCAAAATCTGGTTCCTTTTCCCATTGCAGAAGCAGAGTGAGGTCTCCCAGCCTGCTTCCCTCACGCTGGCCTCTGCGTCTTCCCGCGCTTCCGCTGTGCAGTCTTCAGCTCAAACAAATCACACAACAGAAGGACTGCGGGACAACACATTTCAGTATATGGATGGATGGAAGAAATCAAAAGGAGAGGTAAGTTCTACTGATGACACTTTTGCCTGGAAATAAAAGATCTACAAACGACTAGCTTGAGAAGGTGGTACATACGTTTCTTGCTTTAAAAGATCAGCTCTATTTACAGCAAGCTTTCCCCGCTTCTATTCTAAAAAATACGAATAAAGACTGGCTTATTTCTCTAGCATAAATATAGGAAAGGATTAACCTTATTTTTTTAAGGGAAAAAGATAGTCATCCTTGAACTTGGAAGAAATAAAACTCCTCTAATTGTGGCTTTTGGACTAATTCCAGCACATCTGGTTTTTAGTAACTGTGGAGGGGAGAGAGGAGGGAAAAGATACCTAGTATAAGGTACAAAAGAGCACTCAACAAGCTTATTGACAACTGACAAATTAAATATCTTACTCAGGTGGTTAATGAATTCAGTTCTATAATGTAGACTGCCGCCTTTCCCATCAGTGTATAACACAGATTTTCCATTTCTTCCTTCTAACACACGCAGAGATGGAACTGACACATAGGACTTACAGGTAGACGTGCCCGGATGTGATTCCTCTGTGTGCTCCAGGCTCCAAGTATTTCGTCTATCTCTAGTTAACTTAGTCCGCTCCTACTTTGATCTCTAAACTGTATGTACCTGACATTCTCTACCTTCTGTCAGGGAACATCTGTATCACACTCATTTCCTGAAAAGCTGCTTTAATGTAGTCGGTGAAAAAATGCCAGATTGATACCACTTACTCTCGGGATTTTACCAGCAAACAATGACCCTTATGTGAACAATGTGAGAATGACTGCATCAGAGAGATGGTTTCTGAAAGACTTTAGGATCAAGTGATATAACCCCAAATTCTAGAAAGCCTTTTATTTATTTTTAAAATTTCTTTTGAGGAAGATTAGCCCTGAGCTAACATCTGCTGCCAATCCTCATCTTTTTGCTGAGGAAGACTGGCCCTGGGCTAACATCCATGCCCATCTTCCTCTACTTTACATGTGCGACGCCTACCACAGCATGGCGTGCCAAGCGGTACCATGTCCGCACCCGGGATCCGAACTAGCAAGCCCCCGGCGCTGAAGCAAAATGTGCAAACTTAACCGCTGCGTCACCGGGCCGGCTAGAAGGTCTTTTATTTTAACTCAAGTCCCAAAATAAACCACACTGGTATTCTAAGGTCAAGAGCTCAGATGTTGTTTATATCAGTTATTTTCAATTAGAAAGCCAAAGTAACACAGCACGTATAGAGAAAACTGTTTCAAGAAGGACTAATGGAACACCAAATGAAAACCGGATTTGAATTAGAAGTTGGTGACGGAAGTTGATGATTTTACCAAACAAAGAATGATAACTTCCTTCTTTGTCACTGCTTCCTTCCTGTGAAGCTTCTGAGCAGGTACATCCTGAAAACAATGACACGTTGCTAAGGAAGGAGACTTTTAAAATATCTAATAAAAATATTTTCCACGTACGAAGTAGTACAATCATATAAACAGTTTCATCACAAATGACATAGGCTATTCACTAAAAATAAGATTAAATAGAACTTCAAGGGCAAGATTTTATGTTCTAGTGAGTCCTTAAAGACTAAATTCCTCCGATTAAGACAGTGTGCGTTAGGCATTGCAATATCCGCAACCGTCGGTTTACTTTTCATGCCGACAGAGTACACACAACGTGCTGCGTACAAATGCAGACTCGTCCAAGTCTGGGCAATCCCAGAAGACGTCATCGTCAGAGAGGATCTCTCTCCGGGCTGAAATCTGACAAGTCTTAAGGAAGGGAAGACTTTATGTCATGATAAAAATGAGTAAGACTATCCCACCTAATTTTCACCCCTTTTCACCTTATTGAGGTTTTCTGACTTAAACAGTATTGTTTGACAATTTTTTAAAGAGTTATATTTTGTGGCTGGCTCAGTGGCGTAGTGGTTAAGTTTGCATGCTCTGCTTCAGCGGCCCGAGGTTTGCAGGTTCAGATCCTGGGTATGGACCTACATCACTCATCAGAGTCATGCTGTGGCAGCCACCCATGGACAAAATAGAGGAAGACTGACACACATGTTAGTTGAGGGCCAATCTTCCTCAGCAAAAAAAAAGAAAGAAAGAAAGAAAGAAAAGAAAAAGTTATATTTTGACAACATGAAGCTTGGCAAATGTTATGATTAAAAATTAAAAACCCCAAGTGTGGCTGAATATTAATAGTGATTAAGTGAATTCACCGTCAACATCAGATGAAACATCTCACAGGTCCCCACATTGTGGCCACGTAATCCAAACTCCATTAACAGCAAAACCAAGGACAGAATATAAGAAAGATACAAAGTAGATCAATTTTACAATTATTCTTAGAGTTCACTAAAAGGAAAATAAATAAAATGTTCTGCAACATTAAGATAAAAAGAAATCACTCTAGTCCCATTTACTCATTGCTTTTGAGTTCATGTTTAAGTGCACACTACCTCAGATATAATGGATAAAAAAAAATTGAATAGACACCTATCTTAGGTTCTTAACTATGTTTAAAACTCAGTTATCAGAATACCCAATAAAGAAGGATTTAAGAATAAGCTTGCTTTGAGGGCATTCAATTTCTCTTTTAATTTTGTCATTCAACAGCTATTAAATGTCTACTAAATGCTGGCTCCTGACCTTCTCTCTGAGAATGGCAATGGAACTGGAGGTCCTATGAGGTCACAGACTTTCCTTTTAAAGAAAAAGAGAGTAGACTACTAAATTTTGGGGTGATTCTTATGCAGTTCTATCTAGATGAACGAGAGAAAACACCTGCCAAAATTTTCCAGGGCCCTTCTAACTTGCAGTTACATGAACTCATACTGTTTTCCCTTTTTACTGTGAGAAGAAAGTAGAATGTTTTGCCTCAGAAAGTCCACGACCCGTGCTTCTGAGCATTCTCTTGAGTGACCTCACCTCGGCTTCCACCTCCTGAGAAACTAAGCTGGAAACAAGGAACGGTGATCACAGACAGGACTCAAATACGAATCGCCCATGACAAACCGGGAAAGGAATCGACAAGAAAGAAGTTTAGGAAACCACAAAAGGATACTCCACAAATACTCCAGAAATAAAGCAAAATTCAGAAACAACATGGGAACAGATTAGTTACGGGCAAGTACGGCTGGAATAGCTACAGTGATCTCCTGGACAAACTGAGCCTGGTTCTTTATAAAGAGCACTGTGCACCTGAAACAAAGGTGACGCTGGCTCTATCAGGACCAAGATCACATACTGAACGTACACCAATGTGATACACTTGATGTGCATGTAACTTGGCAGTATCCTACCATATGAGTCATTGATTAGGACCTTAGGAAAGTAGTGTGCCTGAGTTAAGACTGCAAACTTAAGAAACACACGGAAAATTTCAGAGTCAAAAAAACAGAAAATGTAGACCACCACATAAAAATGTTAATGGGGGACCAGCCCCGTGGCTGAGTGGTTAAGTTCTCGCGCTCCACTTCAGCAGCCCAGGGTTTCACCAGTTCGGATCCTGGGCGCGGACATGGCACCGCCCATCAGGCCACGCTGAGGCGGCGTCCCACATGCCACAACTGGGAGGACCCACAACTAAAATATACAACTATGTACCGGGTGGCTTTGGGGAGAAAAAGCAATAAAAAAAAAAAATAAGGTTAACGGGCCTTGGAGCTACTGAGCTTGAAAGAAATTACGGAGGTAAGCAAAGCCGCTCCTCCCAGGCAGTTTCACCCTGACAGAGCCCTATCTTCACCATCACCGCCCCCCTCAGAGGTAAGCGCAATCAGTGCCTGTGCCATCCTTTGTCATGAAACAAAGCTAACCAGAGATCTATAAATTGGAATGACAAAATTCTCAGTTTTTACTAAATTCTAGGTCATATACGCATGTGATCCAACATCAGTCTTTTATTCGCAGGAAAAGATTTTCGTTAGTTTAGCTGCCCCATGAAATGAATTTAAGAAACTTTCGTGTTACTTTGGAATTACCTAATTCAAGTTAAGACAAGAGTCTGGGTGTTTACAGATTACCAGCGCAGAACATTCACGGGGTGGAAATCCTTCGCTAATTATTCACCTATTCTGGCTTATGAATTTTTTGAAACGGACTGAGGAGACACCGGTTCCGACAAAGCTGAGGAGCTGCCTCCTCCCCCGGACACGCCGGCTCCGACTGTCCCTCAGACGGCCGGGCACTCTGGCCTTGGGGCCTTGCTTGGTATCGGTTCCTTCTGCCCGGATGCTCCTCCCCTATGTGTCTGCACAGGTTTCCAAGCCTTCGCTCAACACGCCTCCTCAATGATGCCACCGACCCTGACAACCTTAGCGAAAGCTGCAGCCTCCTCACTCACTGCATCAACTCTTCTACTTTTTATTTCTAACATATTCATTATATTTATCAGCAAAATAAATATATTAATTATGTTTACTATTCGTCATCTGCCTCCTCCCACTGGAATGTAAGCTCCTCAAAGTAGGAATATTTGTCTGTCCTAGGGCAGTGCCCGGCACATAGTAGGCATTTAAATCTTTACTGAACGAACTCACTCAAACGCAAGATGTTGCTCATAATTAGAATTACAAGAAAGAAATTTATTGTGCAACAGAAAGAGCGTTTCCAATTAAAGGAAACACCCCATTACTGCTTTCAACACAAGGACCATAAAAAGCCATGTCATTTTTTAAATGGAACAAACAGGAAGAGGCAAATTCCTCTGAAAATTGTGTGCATGGTAAGTCAACATTCAGACTATCCTTTTTCAGACCCACCAATGGTCATAGCAGTGAGGGAAGGGAATCGGATTCTAGCAGGCAAAAGGATTCCAGGCTTAAGGTTTCAAGACTAACTGAACATTTTATATGTAAATCATTTTATTTTTATAACTCAAGTTTCAGATATCTATGATTTTTAAGGGTGGATTTTTAAGGCAAGAACTCTTTCTGGCAAATGACTCAAGGGACATTAGTATTTAGGGCTAAGAAATCAGTTTCTCGTATTATACGTATTAAATCTATCTAAAGTGCTTTACGACTAGAGAAGAAGAAAAGCTTATGCAGCAGCAAAAGGGATTTCAGAATACAAATCAGATTAAGCTATGGTTTAAAATCACTCAATAGCGTCTCGCTGTATTTAATAAAATTACACTCCTCCCCATGGCTACAAGACCTGGCACGATCCGCCTCTGCAGTCCTCTCTACCACGTCCCACCCAGCCTCCCCCTCGTTCCCCAGGCTCCAGAGCCACCCAGGACCCACTGCACACTTTCCTGCTCACACACAGAACTCTGCTTAGAGTGACAGACTCTACAACCTCCTCCGCCCCCAGCCCATCCTTGAGTCTCAGCTTCAACAGTACCCTTCTTGTTCCGGGGATCCACCCCATGCACCCCAAGTCCCACATTTATACCCCAGCTTCTTATCTGCATCTCTTAACACTTGCAATTATTGGTGTCTCCCATAAAAATCAAAGCTCCATTAAGACAAGAATAGTCTGTCTAATTTGTTAGCACATCCCTGGCCCCTAGCACAGTTTCTGTTCTATAGTGTCTACACAGTGTTGTACATGTTCAAATATCTGCTGAGTGAATGAGTGTGCACCTATCATGAGTTAATTTAAAGTCTATGAGATCAGCTGACACTTTTAATTTTATGAGCTGTAAAAAAAAATAGGACGAACAGGTAAACTTGCAGTATTTTTTTTTTAATGCCAAATACGTTATTCGACTGATAGCACTGCTCACCTGTTTCAGGTTAATGTTTACCCCTACAAATAAAAATTCTCACCTGCTTTGGAGGGGTCCTCTCTCCCTTTTGGTTTTTCATCTTCCCAACTCATGAAAAGAAACTAGGATCACACAGTACTTTTGTAAAAGTCTATAGATTTGTTTTATAAAACAAAGCTACATGAACTAAATTCTCAGTCCACTTCCATTCTGTGGTTTTCCCGTGACCTGGCCATGATTATATTCTGTTTATGCTTGTAGGGTTTAAAATGATAGGAACTGTATTAGTCACAAGTTGCTGAATTTTCATGTTCAAGTATCTGTTACATACCAGGCACTGTGCTAACAATATTACTACTACTACACCCAGCTCACCTCCACCAAACACCATACAGCATTTGTAATGAGCCAGGCACTGTTTTCTATACTTTATAAACAGTCACTCTTATATGAAGTAGATAGTATTATCATCACATAACACTGATATCATGGATAATGGAATCAAGGCACAGAGATGTTAGTAATTTGCTAAAGGTCACAGAGCTATTACACAGTAGACATGGGACGCGCACTGCAGAGTCCATGCTGTGAAGACACTCGGCAACATTATCTCACCAAAGATGACTAAGACCATACCCATAAGGGCCACACCCTTGAAAAGTCTCCAACTTTTAGTGGAAAGAGAACTGTAAACAAATATTGATAACACATTTGTGCTAAGTTTAATAAGCAGGTATGAGGTACAGAGGAGATTCGTGCTTGAGGGAGATCAAGGAAAGCTTTATGGGAAATAGATATCTTTATGTCAAAATTCAATGAAATCGTTAGTATTTATCTTCCTTCACCTCTTGGAAGCATCTGACACAATTCTATGCTCGTCTCCCGGACGCAGTATTTTCCCGGCTTTCCCCCATCCCTCTAGTGGAGCTCTTCCTCCTCTACCCATCCCTGAAAAGTGGAGGCTCCTCAGGGCACCGTTTTAGACGCCTCAGTCTAATCACTTCAGATTCCCTCCCCACCCTGCTTCTCCTCCGAGAGTTTAAAATACCAAGTAAATGCAAACGACTCCCAAGTCTGTGCTTTCAGCTCAGGCCTCGCCTGTGCTTCAGACCCAGGAGGCCCCTGTCACAGCTTCAGTTACGCAGCCCTTCAAACCCCACGGTACTTAAACAGTACTTCAAACTTAAAGGTCAAAAAACAGTCTGACAACCTGTTCCTTACCCCATGCCGCAAGCCTCAGAGAGAGAAACCATCTCGGGCGACATGATTACAGGTGACTATTTCCTTCTTTCTGTTTCAGGCACAGTACAAGCATTCATGGACATTGAAAGAATTGTCAATGCTTTAAAAACGGACTCCTAAGTACACTCCTTGGATCAACTTCAATAATCCCTTAAGAACAAGAGAACGATGGACCAAAGGGAACTTAGGAAAGCAGTCGAGCTTGTAACCTTAAACTAGCTTGATAGTCTCTTCAGGATTTTTTTTTTCCCCTAATAAAAATTAACTGCAAAATATTCTCTTTGATCTGTAAAAGAAGTGAGAAACGAAAGCACTGTTTAGACCCAAAACAAGGATCGGAAAGCTCAGAAAAAGGTATCCTGTGCCACAGAGGCCACCAGAACAACTAGGAAGACGAGGTACCCTCGGAAGAAGTCGCTTTGAAAGCACGGCTTAGCGGAGCAGGCAGCGTCCGTCTTAACAAGTGGTCAGGGAAATAACTGAGGGAAAAAATAGGTGAGAGAAAATCAGGTTAGGGAGACCTAAAAACATACTTTCTTAAAGAGCGAAGGAGGTCAACGCAAGACCAAGGGAGGAACACGGGGTGACCACAGAGGGCTGGGCGGCCTGAGCCCGAGGGACATGGACGCTTCATCAGGGAAGACAGCTCCTTCCTCCCTGACTAGAAAAGTCACAGGCCACACGTCAGCACCACAGGAGACGCGAGGTACAGTGAAGCAGGACGAGGAAACGAAGAGCAGCCTGTAATCCCACCCGCAAACCACCACTGCTGATGCTCAAGTTTACGTGGAGAAGAGGAGCTTCCAAGAGGAACTCCTGGAAGAAGCAGAGCCTCCTGCGTTCACATTCACATCAATTCAAAAAGCTGTATTCACTACACTTTACCCCTGAGTTCACACCACAAGTTTTCTTATATGTAAATCCTCCTTCTCATCTTTTAAAAAAATTTTTCTTCTGTCATTTATCTTAGTGTCTTAATAAAATTAACTTTTAAAATACCCAAGTAGCATGTGGATTGCTCAGAAGAGCAGCAGAACACGTTTCTACAGCAGAGCGCAGAAAGCAGCGCACATCCCCAGTGGCTGAGGGCAGTGAGGAAGCTGGGGTGAGCAGGAACCAAGAGGGAGCGGGCGGAGGGCTGGCCCCTCCCCAGGCCCCGTGGACAGCACTTAACGATCTGTAACACTGGGCTGAAGCACAAAGTTTTCATAACGTGCAGAGGCCTGCCATTATTCTTGGCTGATATTCACTCTGCCGTAGATCTCAAACCTGCTCCAATGTAGAGCAGAAAACTGAAAGATGATAACGGGCCCCCTGTGAAGTTATCATATCCACATAACAAGAAGGAACATTAGGAGAGACGATGGAAGAAAAAGAAAAGATGGGGGGAATCAGAGAAAGAATAGCAGGAAATGCCTCAAAACTGAAAGACACAAATTTCCAGAAATGAAAGCATCCCCTGAGTACCGAGGACAGCTGATGGGAAAGACCCACGCCACGTACATCACCATGAAATGCCTGAACACCAGGGACACAGAGAACACCCTCAAAACTTCCAGTGAGGGAGAAAAGAAAAAAACAAACTAACAAAACACGGTCACACAGAAAGGATCTGAACCCCTATGCCACTAGAGCATCACAGATACCAGACAGCACAGCAATGTCTTCCAAATTCCAAGGGAAAATTATTTCCAGCCTAGAATTCTGTAACACTGCCAAACTATCAACCACGTTTGTGGGCAAAATAAAGTCATTCAAATATTTCTTAGGAGATAAGCACATAAACCAAGCAAAGGGGCAACACGGGTGCCAGCCTGGGAGCAGTGGAGGGCAGTACCTGAAAGATAGTCGGGAGCTGTTCCTGATGGGAAACAGTAAAGAGGGGAGGAAGATGCAGGGCTCCAGAGAAAAAGGAAGCGACAAATTTCAGCTCAGAAAATGTTACTGATAGGAATGTGACTAATATGCTGGAGCATTTGGAAAAAAACTAACAGTGGGACGTGAAAAAAACCAGGCAAAGGTCAACCTAAACACAAGGAAGAGCAGAGCTGAGACAGATCATCTGACTAGTGGTATTTGGCAGAGGTAGAAATACGAAAAAGCTGCCTGTTTTCACCAAAAATGACAACACAGCTCTGTTAGGGGCCAGCCCGGTGGCACAGCGGTTAAGTTCATGTGCTCTGCTTTGGTGGCCTAGGGTTCGCAGGCTCGGATGCTGGGCGCAGACCAATGCAACGCTCATCAGGCCGTACTGTGGCAGGCATCCCACATATAAAGTAGAGGAAGATGAGCACGGATGCTGGCTCAGGGCCAATCTTCCCCAGCAAAAAGAGGAGGATTGGCAGCGGATGTTAGCTCAGGGCTGGTCTTCCTTGGGGGTGGGGAGGAATTACAATACAGGTCTGTTAGGGGGTGGAGGGCATGGAAAGGTAGGGAGTGCAAGGTGGAGGAGCTAAGTTCTAATGTATCCCCACAAGAAATCACCAGGCCAAACACGGGGGAAAAAAAGGACTAACAACACATCAAATGATTCAGAAACACGAAGATGAGGCCTGAGGAAAAAGGAAAGTAACTGAGCGGCTGCCTCTAAAGAATGAGACTAGAAGGTGGGGAGACTAGAGGCAATTGTTTTGTTTTTTTCTCTTAGAATTCTTTTAGTACTAGCTGACTTTTTAAACCATACAGAACATGAATTATTTTGATAAAAACAAAATAAAAAGGGAAAAAATAGCAACATTTAAAATTTGCCATTTTTCTCTCTGCATTTTTCAAACCTCACATTGCATCTGGTATATCCATAGGGGTATACCCAGGCCCCCAGATGGCTTGCTGGGCAGGAGGGGGCAGGGAAATTGACTCTGGGCCCTAACTCAGCACTGACTGAATCACGATTTCCGCAGGAGTGCTCTGTAGATTTAAAAGGACCTCAGGAGCCAGCCCTGATGGCCCAGCGGTTAAAGTTCGGTGCTCTCACCGCTTCATCAGCCAGGGTTTGTTTCCCAGTCTCAGAACCACACCACCTGTCTGTCAGTTGCCATGCTGTGGTGGCGGCTCACATAGAAGAACTGGAAGGACCTACAACTGGGATACACAGCTATGCACTGGGGCTTTGGGGAGAGGGGGAAAAAGAGGAAGACTGGCAACAGATGTAAACTCAGGGTGAATCTTTCCCAGCAAAAAAAAAAAAAAAAAAAAAGGCACCTCAGGCAATTCTTATCATCCAGCAAGTTGGAGAAATGCTGACTAGTACTGTATACTGGGATCAAAACTCAGGGTGGACTTGGTTTTCTAAATCAGGTTTCCTTATAACAGCCAGTGGAAGTTATTTTTGTAAAACTAACAATATCATTAGAGCAAACACAGTATGTTCCAATCATTAACAATTAAAACACCCCCCCACACACAATTCATATACTGTTGTTCAAATGTTCAAATAATGCAGAAAATAGGTTTATTCAACTTAAGCAACTATCTGTTGCAAATACCTTGTTCAATTTCTCTAAGGATCCTGACATCCTCTGGTTTTTGTCCAATCACAAAGTTGAACAGTCCCTCAATTTTCCACTGTTCATGTTCTGGAAACATGGTTTCCATGTTCACCCTTCCAGTGTATATTCCTTTTCCTATAAGATACCTTGATCATCTTCATTTACATAAATACCATAAAATACATAGCTCTTTACATTCTTGAAAACGCTCTACCGTAATGATCTTATTTTAACTTATTATCTTAAAATGCTACTAATAATTTGAGTATGTACTACACACTAAGCATCATCTATTTATCTCGTTGCTCATCACAACAGTCTTACCAGGTAGGTATTGTTAATCCTGCGGCACATCTGAAGAAACTGAGGGTGAGGAGATGAAACGCTTGTAAATGACGAAGCCAGATCCAAACCCCAGTCTGCCTTCAAAGGTCCGGCTCCTTCTAAAGCACCAAGCCGCCTCACTCGCACCAGCACGAGACTTTGAGATCATCTAGTTGTCCACCCCACTTCCTTTTTTGGGTGAGAAGTTTAAGGTGCAAACCTTTGAAGTGAGTCACCTAAGGGGAAGAATTAGGCACGGCTAACATTTATTGAGCCCTAACTATGCACTGGGCTCTAACGAGCGCTTTAACACGCACTGCCTCCCTGAATCCTCACAGCAGTCCTACGGTAGGTATTGTCCCCGTTTTACAGGACAAACGAAAGTGAGAGACAGGTTAAGTAACTTGCACAAGGTTACACGGCTGGCAAGCGGCAGAGCCAGGATCCGACACCCAGTCTGTCCGACTCCAAAGTGCACGCTCTTAGCCAGTGTGCTCAAGCATCCTCAAGGTTTAGGGTCCACGTCTCCTCTGAATGCCCACACGGTTTTATTCTTGTAATTAAAAGTGCACACATCAAGTGTGGACCTTTCCTGGATCCTGATTCAAACAAATTAACTGCTAAAAAAAGAGACCAACGGGAAAATTTGTGCACCGACTGGTTGCTTGATGATATTAAGGAATGCATTTTTTTCCTAAGGTGTGATAACAGTATCGTGGTTATGTTAAAAACAAGTCCTTATCTTTCAGATACATACTGAAGCGTTTAGAGATGAAATATGTCTGGGATTGGATTCAAAACCATCTGAGAGGTAAGGGTGGGGTGTAGAACAGGACTGCGCTGTGCTAGCTGGCAGCAGAAGCTGGCTGAGGGGTACGCGGGTTCATTATTTTCTCTACCTCTGTAAATGTCTGAAATTTACAATTAAGAAAAAATGCATGACAAAAAAGACTGAGGAAAACCAGGATATAAACAGTATTTGGGAAACAACTGTGAATGACTTTTTCCCACTCTACTTTTTTGTATTTTTCACATTTTCTGTATTACTTTTATGACAGAAACCATAGAATAAGCTATTTAAAGAAATTCTCTATCTTCTCTAAACAGGCAGAGCAAGACTGCCCATAATCTACTGCGGTCAAAACATTATGAGAGGGGCCGGCCCCGTGGCCGAGTGGTTAAGTTCACACACGCCACTGCGGTGGCCCAGGTTTCGCCGGTTCAAGTCCTGGTTGCAGACATGGCACTGCTCATCAGGCCATGTTGAGGTGGTGTCCCATATGCCATAACTAGAAGGACCCACAACTAAAAATACACAACTATGTACCGGGGGGCTTTGGCAGAAAAAGGAAAAATAAAATCTTTAAAAAAAAAAACATTATGAGGAAAGCATTTCCCATCTCTTTATCAGTTAACTACTTTTCACCCACTTTTAGAAAGGCCACTTTGTAAGGACAAGTATGATCTTTCAATATAAACTAACCAAGAGTATAAAGGCACATAAGGGAGAAACAAATTAGAGATAGATTTAACAAAAATAATAATACACGTCCTGTTGATAGTTAGGCCGAGTTTGGATCAAAGACCTTGAATGTGTAATGCTGACCTTCCTCAGAGTCTTACGGGCCACCGGATAGGGATGTCCTCAGCCTGTGGTATGGTCAGGTGAGCCCTAGGGACAGCCACAGCTTCCGGGCCAGGTGTCTTTGGTGAGCCGCCCCCAGTTTTCCCCCATGAAACAAGTATTTCCGCATGTGCCACGATATGAAAAAAGTTTGGGAAGTACTGATTTAAGCTAGACCTGCCTTGACCATGACCCAGAAGCTGAATAAAGTATAACGATCGGCATCAGTACAACAGAATCTCTTTAAAATGCTGGTATGGGAAAAAGCATTCACACCCATGATATAGGTCTGTACCACTGATTTCTAATATTTTTTTCTACTGCACTCTCTGCCATGCCCCACTTAGGAAATCTTAGGGTATATTCAGCACCATTCAAGAAGTAACTTCCAAATATAAATGTTAGCTCAGTGACATAAGGTTAAATTCTGGGGACAAGAGCAGAATCCTGGTTCTCCATGCCAATGCTAAATGTATTCAAGATAAGTCTGAGATAAATTCCACTCCTTAAGAAAGAGAGTACCTAAGTGTCAAGTGTCAGTGGAAAATCTTTACAGAATAGAAGCTTAGAGTTGTAAGGATCTTCTTTGAAAAGACAAAAAACTAAAGCCAAATTACTTGCTCAAGTTCACAAGGGCGCGGCTGAACTGGGACTAGTCCCCAGATGTGCTGGCTCCGAAGGGCACTGTCCAGGAGGCCTCCAGGGCGCACCCGCTAACTGCTCCTTTGAATCTGTCTCAAACCGTAAAATAATAGCCAGGCACTTCCTGCTCTTCAGGGCACTGAGTCTCTGGTTAATCTGCAACTAGCAAACCACTGTTGAAGAAGCCAGAATGTACCTTGTGCCACCAATTAACCTTAAATTGGTGATATTTAAACACAAGTTCCTTTATTAGTGAGTCCTCATGTATATCTGTGAAATAAAAAGGAGGCTTTGTTCTTGCATAGATCAGGAAATATCCTTCCTTAAAATAGAATTATCAAGTTCTTTATAGAGTAATTTGGGGGGGGCACATTTTCTCATATACCAAAATCTATGTGAATGAAATAAGCCATGTCTGTACTCTATAAGAATGAAGACACCACTAGACACCAATAACAGAACCTCCTTCCTTGTACTGAGAAAACAGTCGAGATAAGACGAGCCCCCAACTAAAAAGAGAATGTGAGATTGGTGCAGAAGTGGAAAAATGAACTGCCTAAAATAGGATCAATCGAAGGAGGAAGGGGAAGAAGGCAACGTAGCATTAAAACGCAAAAGACAGTCATCATATTTGCATAAATTCTTGTACACTCAGAGAGCAACTTTACTTTAAATCACCAAGTGCCTCATCTCAGAGGAGAAGCATCAAGGAAGTTGTAAGTTCTGTACCCATATTAACTAAAGCTGTACCGTGACACCAAGCAAACAAAAACTTTGAATTCTTCAAATTGCTCTTACAAAGTTTCGACAAGAAGATACTAAAGTTCCTTCTTCAGAAAAAAGTGACCAGGGTTTTTATTCTCAGGCACTACAGTGTGTGCCTTGGGTTAACCTGAAATCCAAGAACACAAGGTCTGTGTCACTAGCAATGACACGTGAGTTGGTTCTTCATTTTGTTTCCTGCCACAGAAGGCCAATTCTGGAAGAACAGGTGTCATTTCTTGAATGCAATTAAGGACAGGTTAATATAGCAACAGGTTTTCCCAGCCCCTACACAAAACCATAAAAGTACTACAAAACATGTTTGTAATTAATGTAACGATAAGAATTTAAGTCCTGATGCCCAAATTTCAGAGTCTTTGTTAAAGGAGTCTGCATGTACCTAAGGAACAAGTGATGTGCAACTGGTTAATTAGTGAAATTACAACCTGCATCTGGAGCCTATCAGTAAAAGGTAAGAATTATTTTAGGGCGGAATTTCTCAACTTTTATAGATCTATGTCTTACCTGTGAATTTGCAGGGGAAAAAAACAAAAGGAGATCTGTTTCCCAACTTTCCTTGGAATTTTTTGCAGCTATATCCCAAACACCTGTCTTATTACAGAAACACACACAAGCCTTCTTTCCCACTCTACAAATACATTTACTCTTACCTGCACTCTTCCAATTCAAAAGTTCAGACACGTTCTAACACATGTCTATGATGCACTTCAGCCATCTAATGAATGTGAGTTTACTCTGTGCCAGATATGGGGACAAAAAAATGAATGAGTCCTTAAGGGACTCACAGTTCATAGCAGCTGCCAACGGTACATCTTGACCTGTACAATTCAAAATCAATTCAAACTCAACGGACAGTACAGGAAGGGAAAAAAGACCACTGAATAAAGCATAGCCTCATTACTGGCCGCCTAGATTGAAGCATCCTAGCTGATTCCCCTGCTATCAAAGCTCTCTCCTGTTCAATCTGTCCTGCATTCAACTGCCAGATTCATTTCCAGAATTCCACTTTCAAAGAGTCTCTCTCCTGCTCAAGAAGCTTCAAAGACTCTTTACTACTCATCACACGTAGTTCAAACTCTTCTTCAACTTGAAGTCTTCTACAAGCTAGGCTCCACTTACCTGCTCAACCTTATTACATGCCCAATATGGCTTCTTCTGCCAATTCCTTTTGGAGGGGTAGGATGCAAAGCTAATTCTACTACCTACTCGAACTCCTCAGGCAGCCGTCATTCTAAGCGGTCTTAAAAAATTGTTTCCTCTATGTCAGCACAGATACATTATTTTTCTGAACACCCTTTCAGAACTCGGCAGTAGCTTTCTTCTTAACAAATGGCAGGTACGTCCCACGGTATTTTTAACATTACCATCTCAAGCAGATGTTCATCTACCCAGTCACCCCTTAGTGAAACGAGAGGGAATCGCTTGCAGTTTGGGCATGAGAGTTTCAACACTGCACCTTAAGACAGGGGAAGAGGGTAAGATAGGGAGAGCAGGTTTGGGGCAGTTCAAACTATGGAGGGGAAAAATGAAGGAAACAGAAAGGGGAAGGTACTTCGTCTGTGCTCTGTACTTTGTCTTTCCTTCGGAAGTAGGGGAAAGGGTAGGGGAAGAGAAGACTTCAAGAAATGACTTCTTGAGGAAGGACAGAGAAATTCAAGGTGTTTCCTAGGTGGGAAATACGAGCTGGGGCCCCTGAATAACAGGAGGGCTCCTCATCATCCCTGGGAAAGAAGAACAGGTTACAATGTGAAACAAAGCGGCTGGGAGCCCGGAGGTGAGAGGTGGAGAGACTAGAGATCCGGGCATCTCCGAAGGTCGAGCGACAGGGAAATGAGAGGGGCCACGACGCATCCCTGAGGGGACTGGCTGAACACCGGGGATGCGGTTGCCAATAGGGACGAGGTAGGCGTCCAAGAAGGCTCCGGGCTAACGTTTACGGGGCATCGCTTCCACGGGGGGCGCGGGGGCGGGGAGGTGTTTTTGAGTAGGACCGTCTCCCAAAGGGAGAAACGGTTTCCCAGGGCAGTGCTCTCTGAGAACGCAAATCTTGGGGACGCGAAGACGTTAAACGTTGAGAGACTGACATTGCCCAGCCCCAGCCCGGCTTCCCAACGCACTCACCGCGTCCCCTCCAAACACCACCGCTCCAGCTGCAGATACCGGCCTGCGCAGCCGCACTTAGCGCGCACCGACCCCACGTGACTCGGCCCAGGCCCCGCCCAGCCCACGTGACCGACAGACCCCGCCCACTTCCTCCTCCCTCTATCATTCTTCTGCACGTGGTTTTGGCTCGCTCCTCCCTTCCTGGCAAGATGGCGGCGCCCGCCTGCAGTGCTCCGGGCCTCTGGGTCCGGCGTACCGGGCGGCGTTTTGGGAGTCTCTTCACTCTCAGCCCAAAGCCGTTTCGTTCCGCCGCTGCTGCCTCTAGGCCCTTGGATGCCCAGCGATTAGCGGAGAGGCTCCGAACCCAGAAACAGGAACAAAAGACGAAGAAGGAGCCGGTGAGTCCGGAAGGACCACAACTCCCAAGAGGCAGTGCGCTCACTGGTCTCCCAGGCGGGGAGTGAGGTAGGCGGGTCCTCTGATAGATACCAAGTAACTGTCGAGGACTTGTGGTGGGACGATGGGGAGACAGCGGAGAGGAGAGGTCGGTAGGGTACGGTGTGTTCCTATGGGCCGGGTCTTTGGCTCTTGCCACGCTCGTCCTGAGCACCACGTGGATACAGGTAAGACGGACGCGCACCCCTGCTCTCACATTCCTCGGGGAAGGCGCGAGCCTCGTGCAAAGATACGGGCATTCCCTACCCAAATTCTCATCCAGACTTAATCAAGGTTTTTCCCACCAGGCATTTCCCGTCGCTGCTCTCTCCCCGTAGGTGCCCACAAACCCTGTTCAGCGGAGAGTGCAAGAACTAGTGCGGTTCACACAGCAGCTGCAGCGGGTCCACCCCAACGTACTTGCTAAGGCGCTGAGTCGAGGGATTATCCACCAGGACAAGGACCTTCTGGTCATCAATAAGCCCTACGGTCTCCCTGTGCATGGTAAGGACAGCTTGGGAGAGGGAGGGCCTGCTGCTGCTCTCTGTTGCAGCTGGGGCGACTGACAGTTACCTTTGGGCTTTCGGAAGCCTTGCGTTCAAAATAATTAAAGTTTGTGGAGTACTGTCCTATATAAGGCACTACTGGAGACAGAGAGAGAAATAAGACAGTCCCACCTTCCAGACATTTGCACTTGGCAGTGATTTGTGGAATGCACTGTGTGCAGACCTCCACAGGGACTGCTATAGAGAAGTTCAAAGGCTGTGTGGTTCTTGTCTTCGGGTTATTTTCCATCAAAACTGGGAAAGAGGAAATAACATATAAAGAAACTATATTTGGGGATGGTGTGTGTATGTGTGTTGGAGTATACCTAACAAAACCCCAGAGTGCCAAGAATTTAATGGACATGTGAATGTTTTTGAACAAATGTTGAGTGTAGTTGTCAGACAGCTGGAGTGAGTCGGGAAAGACTGATAGAAAAAGATGCATTTGTGGAAAGGGTTTTGCTGAGGGAAAAGGCATATTTTAGCTAGAAGAAGAGTGCCTTTTAGGGACATATGGAGAAGGTTGTGCATAAAGGCAGGGAATTAAATCAGACATGGCCGAGTGCTTTGTGGGTTTCTTTCTCTTTTGATCCTCACAACAATGTCTTGCTTTCCCATTCCCCATGAGATAATTATTGGCCACATATTTACATTTTATAGATGACACAACTGAAAGTGGGAAAGATTAAGTAATCTGCCTGAGGTCAGTGGCTAGTTAGGAGAGTACATAGAGTAGAACCCAGGACCGCCTCACCGCGACGCCCATCCTCGTAGCTCTTCTCTAAGGCCTCAGGAGGACCTCACGGTCTTGCATTTCTCTAGGGTTTACTTGGCAAATTCTCAAACCTTTGTTTATTTAGTGAAATATCAGACTTCCTCATTTTAATTGCTGATTTTAGTGTGAGTATATAAGTAGATTAAAAAAATATATATGAGGAAAAAGCTGCATGCTCTAGGACAGCACTTCTCAAGCTTCTTAAACTTTAATATGCATACGAGTCACTTGGGCATCTTGTTAAAATGCAGATTTTGGTTTAATAGTCTGCATCAGGGGCCTGAGAGTCCTTTCTAGCAAGCTCCCTGAGCATAGCGATGTTGCTAGTCCCTGGACCACACTTCAGTAATAAGGATCTAGAAAGCATTGTCAGTTAATCCAGTAAGGGCTTTTTTCCCAAGTAGAGTTCTTTGGTGGGATCTTTTCCTGGTGACTCAAACTTCTGGCTTTTCCCTCCTTAGGTGGCCCTGGGGTCCAGCTCTGCATCAGTGATGTACTGCCCATCCTGGCAAAGATACTTCATGGCCACAAGGCAGATCCCCTTCATCTGTGCCACCGGCTAGACAAGGAAACTACAGGCGTAATGGTGTTGGCTTGGGAGAAGGAAGTGGCACACCAAGTCCAAGAGTTGTTTAGAACCCGTCAGGTGGCAAAGAAGTACTGGTATGAAGCCCATTGATGGTGGCGGAGGTGGTATAAATGAAGACATCCCTTTCATCTATCCATCCATTCATACAGCAGGAACTCCTTTAATAGAAGGCACTGTCCGAAGACCTGTGGGCAGATGAAAAGCATAGGAAACAGATTTGGTGCTTAGAATATTAGAGTCTCACAGAATACTGGCTCCTAATTATGGCTGTGCATAAAAATTATTGAAAATTAATTATACAAATAAAACATGATTTCATTCCTGTGGTAAAACAGTCAAACAACAAAGATAAAGCAGAAAACTCCTCGAGAATCCACCCGCTCTGTCATTCTAGTCCCTTCCCTTGCGGTAGTTTGGTTTTTATTCCTCTGGTCCTTACTCAATGTATTTATACCGTGTCTAGTACATACAGTATGTGTGTATTTGTGTGTATATCTACACGGACACATACATAAGTGTATATATATCATGTTGCACAATGTATGTTGTACTTTGTTTTCCCACTTAACTCTATGTCTTGGCGATCTTTCCATGTTAGTGCATATAGGTTTACCTCAGTTTTTTTAATACAAGAAAGATACATGAGCAAAAATGCCTGTCCTCCATCTACTCAATTTCCTTCCCCAGAGGCCATCACTATTACTACTGTCTTGTGTAAACTTCCAGAGTTACCCTGGGCCTGTAGCAGCATAGTATCATATGGCAGCATATTTTGCCCTGCTTTGCTCTTGCTTTTCTCACTTGGGCAGTATACCTTGGAGAACATTTTGTCTTGTGCATTTAGAGCTATCTCCTTTTTAATGGCTCTATAGTATTCCACTGTATGGCTGTGTCATAATTTCCTTACTGATTCATGTTTAGGTAATTTCCCATTTTGCAGAGCCTATTGAAAAGAATATGTGAGTATATCTTTAAGACAGATTCCTAGAAGTGGAATTGCTGGGATGAAGGGTACAGACATTTAAAATTTGAATAGTTACTACCTGATTGCTCTCCAAAATGGTTATGTCAGTTTTTACTCCCACTAGCAGTGGTGAGTGTCCACCTCCCCTTATGCCTGATCAATGCAGTTGCAAAGGTTTGCCACCCTGATGGGTAAAAAAATATTTTATTTTCTATTTCCCTGTGTACTAGTGATATTGACTGTCTTTTCGTGTTTATTAGCTGTTTGAGTTTCCCTTTTTGTGAACAGACTGTTTATTTCTTTTGCCCATTTTATATTAGGTTGTTTATTGCTTTCTGTTGGATTTGTAAGTATTCTTTTTATATTTTGATTGTTAGTCCTTTTTGTACTACAGATTTTGCAGCTACTTTATTTTGGGAGCCTTTAAAAAAATCTATATGCTTGAGACCCACCCACAGAGGTTCTGATTCATAAGTCTAGTGGGAGTGGGGATTGAGCATCTGTATTTTTTTTAAAGCTCCACAAGTGACTCTGATGGAGAATCAGGTTTAAGAACCACTGTAATAAATGATTACAGATAATGGGGGAAGTGTAGCACAGTAGCTAAGAGCTCAAAAAGATTGGCGTCCAACTCTCAGCTGTGTCATTTACCAGTGTGGGACCTTAGGCAAGTTAGTAAACTTCTCTGAGCTTTTTCTTCAGGAAGATGGGAATAATGGAGTTGATGAGAGAGTTAAGTGAGACAGTGCATGTAAAGTGTTTAACAGAGTGCCTGGCTCATAGTGAAGGCTGAAAGATAGAAAAATCAAGACGATTATGTATACAAGTATGAAATGTAAGTCTATAAGAGGTGTTATGTTATTTGTGAAAATTGTTCATGAAAGTTCAGAATTGGTAGCCATTCTCAGGATCAGGCTTCATGGAGGAGTTGAAATCAGTTAACTGGGTCTTGATGAACGAGTAAGATCTGGTAGACGAGATGGAGAAATTGTTCTAGGTTGTGAGAATGGCACATATGAAAGAGTAGGGCATACAGTCCAGTTGGGAGTGGGGTTGGGGGCAGATAATGCTGGAGAGGTAGGCCGGAACCTCGTGAACGATGGTCTTGAACACCAGGCACAGGACGTGGAAGGTAGAAATAGAACACAGCAGGCAGCCGAGGAGCGTTTGCTGACTTGCCGTGAGAGCACCTTGTTACATTGCAGTCATTTGTGAGAGTCTTCTTACTAGACTTCGAATTCCTTGAGAGCAGGGATTTTTGTCTTGTTTGTCTGTATGGAGCAGATACCTGCCTAAATCAGTGCCGGTTTACATTCAGTGAACATGTACTGACTGAACATTTTTGAGCAGTGTGGTATTTCATTAGGAAGAGTGATCTAGTAGTTACGGCTCAGTTTAAGTTTCATAGAATATATCAGATAGCTGCCCAAACTGCTGCCAACCTGAAGTGGGGTGACCAGGGTATGAGATGTTACATCTGTGTGGCCGTGGGTCCCTTGTTCAGTGATTCTGTGGCAGGCCACCAGGTACCCAGGAGGACTCCTCCGTGACTATCCTGGAAGAGGCATAAACGTGAGGACAGATTAAACAGCCTTCTCCCTGTCTGAGGTGATGAAGGGACACCTCCAACAAAAGTGATTTGGACTGAGTTCCCAAGTTGTGGTTCTGGGCCCTGTGACTCCTTTGAGCACAGTTACTCCCTGTTTTATCTACTTGGCAAATCGGGCAGGATTGGTCCTGTGAATTCTTCACTCAGTTCATTCATTTATTTATTCATTCATTTCCTATGCAATTAGAACTTACCATCTTTTGTTATTTAAATCAGAAACATAGGATGTAAAACCTTATTACCCTAATTTTATTTTAAACTATACATACTCTTTTACTCTTTTTTTTTTTTTGGTGAGGAAGATTGTCCCTGAGCTAACATCTATGCCAGTCTTCCTCTATTTTGTATGTGGGATGCCACCACAGCATGTCTTGACAAGCAGTGTGTAGGTCTGCACGTGGGATCTGAAACCGCAAACCCTGGGCCACGGAAGCGGAGTATGTGAACTTAACCGCTATGCCACCAGGCTGGCCCCTATACATACTCATTTTTAAAGGCCGGAATTAAAGACCATGTTATTAATAAAATTATTTTGTTTGTCTATTTTTTTCCCCAAATATTCTACCATTAGCATATAGCACTTAGTAGTAAAAAGGTTATATTTATAAGAATAGTATCAAGCGCTCAGGCTAAGCACTATACCAAGAGATCATTCAAGACCCTCTGGTCTTAAGAACTGACCACAGTAGTGCAGAAGCTCCAGTGTTAAAACCTGTGAGTAGCCAAATTCAAGGAGCGCCTCACTCATCTCTGTGGCTGAAGCAGGGGTCTATGTGTCGCCTAGGGCCATCACTGTGCGCGTCCCGGTGCCCTCAGCAGGAGTCGTGGACATCCCCATCATTGAGAAGGAGGTGCAGGGCCGGCAGCACCACCACAAGGTGAGTGAGCCACCTCCTGGGGTGGGTTTTCTCCTCTTCCTTTGAAATCACATCTTGATTTCTTTGGCTTCAGATGACGCTGTCCCCGAGCTACCGCATGGACAGTGGGAAAATGGTGAGAGTACGGATGAGGCGCAACGCGCATGTGGCTGTGACTCAGTACCAGGTGCTGAGCAACACTCTCTCCTCCGCCCTCCTGGAGCTCCAGCCTGTTACTGGTGAGGTGCCACCATTCTGCAGTGGGATGGCAAAACCCCAGTGCTGCTCAGCTTTGTCCAGGGTCTTTTGCTGGGCTCTGCCCCTCTACTGAGCAGCTCTTGTGGTGGGGATGCTGGGGTCGCAGCTGACTTGTTCGAGAGTGTGCTTCTGGTGCTGATCTGGGGCTCAGAACTCCACTAGGGATGACTGTTAAAAACACTAGGTAGCAGAAGGATATAAACAGTTTGCTTACATTTATTTAGAAATTTGCAAAGTGGTTTCTCAAAAAATTAAGCATAGAATAACCGTATGATTCAGCTGTTCTACTCTTGGGTAAATACCCAAAAGAATTGAAAGCAGGGATTGGAAAAGAGACTTGTACACCAGTGTTCATAGCAGCAGCATTCACAACAGCCGAAAGGTGAAAACAACCCAAATGTTCGTTGACAGATAAATGGATAAACAAAATGTGGTATATCCATACAATTTATTGTATTATTCAGCGTTAAAAGGAAGGTAATTCTGATACATGCTACAACGTGGTTGAACCTTGAGGACATTATGCTAAATGAAATAAGCTAGACACAACAGGACAAATATTGTATGATTCTGTTTATGTAATGTTCCTAGAATAGTCAAATTCATAGAGACAGAAAGTAGAATAGTGGTTACCAGGAGCTGGAGAGAGAAGGACATCGGGAGTTAGTGTTTAATGGGGACAGAGTTTCAGTTTGGGGTGAAGAAAAAGTTCTGGAGGTGGATGGTTGCACAACAATCTGAATGTACTTAATGCCACTGAGCTGTACATTTAAAAATAGTTAAAATGGTAAATTTTATGTTATGTATATTTTGCTACAGTAAAAAATAAATGTGCAGGGCCAGCCCCGGTGGCCTAGTGGTGAAGTTTGGCACACTGTGCCTCAGCAGCCTGGGTTTGGTTTCTGGGCATGGACCTACACCACTCACCTGTCAGTGGCCGTTCTGTGGCGTTGGCTCACATACAAAAAGAGGAAGATTGGCAACGGATGTTAGCTCAGGGCAAATCTTCTTCAGCAAAAATAAATAAGCAAATAAATGTGCAAAGCAATAGTATTAAGTGTTATATAACAAAATTATTTAAAAACAAAAAGCTTGGCAATGGTGCACACCAAGCTGCTGCTGCTGGCTGTCTGTGGTGGAAGGAGAGTCATGAGTGGGAGGGGGCTTAGAGGCTTCCCAGTACTGATGGTGTTTACTTTCTAGTAGCTTATCATTTGTTCTGTTATTCTCTATCCTTCTGGTAGTTGGGGCTTTGCCAGCTATACTGTGCTTTGATGTAGTATGATTAGAACCAGAGGCCGCCAGTGGTATTGTTTCTGTAGCTATTCATAAGTTTTCTGATTTTTTCAAAGGGATAAAACATCAGCTTCGAGTTCACCTGTCATTTGGGTTGGATTGCCCAATCCTTGGTGACCACAAGTACTCGGACTGGAATAGGCTGGCCCCCCAGGTAATACTGGTTTGACCCAATATGCAGCAGAATAAGGGGGGAACTGACACTTTCCCCTGGTTGAAACCCTGAGGATCGTCTTCAGACATGGTGCTATGCTAGTTCTCTAACTTATGGAGAGGTTCAGAAGTGGTTAGCTGCTGTCCTCTGGGAGCTGCATGATCTATTAGCAGACCTTTCTGCTTCATTTCTTTAGTCCCAGATTTTGTTAGGAGGCTGTGGGCAGGGCGAGGAGACTTCCTGAAGGCTCAAAGCAGCCTTTCATGCTACTGCTAAAGAGCAATGGTGGAAACTTTTGTATTTTGATGTTACAGCCCGTTCTCTTGGGAGGCCAGAGAATCAGCCACTAAGAGCTTCCCCGGTGTTGTGGTTTTTCCCTTACCAGGGTTCTGAACCCTTCCAAGAAGTGCCCCACAGCAGTCTCTCCATTACTACGTCTCCCGGGGGTTAGTGCTGCTAAGTGGAAGTCTTCTGACCCTGTCTTTGCTCAAGGGTGAACCGTTGGCCTTGCACTCAGGAGGCTGTCTTGTCTTTGTATAGAAGCTGTCTGTTGGCACCCTGAAGAAGCTGGGGCTGCAGCAGTCCAAGGCTCGCCACATCCCCCTTCACCTGCACGCCCGCCAGCTGATCCTGCCTGCCCTGGGCTCCAGGAAGGAGGAGCTCAACTTGGTCTGCAGGCTTCCTCGCTACTTTGTACGTTCCCTGAACCGTCTGGGCTTAGAGATTCCAAGTCAGGATCCAAATGGGAACGATGATGCTGGACATCTGGGAGCACAGTAAAGACCGTTGGGCTGTTTGGCCTGTAAATTTTTCGCTTTGTTTAATGGATTCTGGTAACTCCTCACTTGAGACAGACTCCAGAAGAGCCAGCCAGGTATGATAAGTTGAAGAAACCCAGCTGCTTCTCCTTTTATTGGAAACTAAAGTCTGTTTACCGATACTTTGGCCCCACGCTGGAAGAGCCTGCAGAAGTCTTCCTGCCTTGGGGCCCCCTTGCCGAGATGGAGGAGAGCCCAGGACCAGGTAGACTGGGTCAGTAATTGGAAAAGGAGAACTAAAGCACAGGATCTGTGATCAGGAACTGTTTCCATCTGACAATAAAGCTTGATCTATCAGGAAGGTTCTCTCCTGTGGCTGGAAAGAGCATGATGGTTCTCTAACGTAGAGAGAAATCCAGAAGTGGTTAGCTGCTGTCTGCATGGAGCCGCAGGAGCTATTGCAGACCTTTCTGCTCCGCTCGTGTCGTCCTGGGTTTTAGAGGCCCCTTGGTAGGGTGCAGGGATCCTCCCCAGCTCCGGCACGGGAGCCTGACTGCACTAGTGACGGAGCCGGGAGGGGGTGCTGATAAGCAAGGAAAGCAGGTGTGAAAGGTGAGGTGGGCAGGGGACAGGCTGTGCGGGGTGCACTCACGCTGTCCACAGAAGGCAGCTGTGGCCTCCGGCTTGGTGTTGCTCTGTGGGAACAGGTTTTCCAGTTTATTTTCGAGAGTCAGGAAACCTGGATGTTTGTGTGAAATCCCCCATTACATTGCTAACTAAATCAGAGTTTAAAGAGACACTGAGGCAGCCGTGCAGATCGTCTTTGCAGGGTGCATTTCGTCTGCAGGCTGTTTGTAACCTGTGTCTAAAGAATGGAGTAGAGACTTGGGGGAAGGTGCCATCTGGAAGTTCTGGATCAGTTCTTGGTTTTGGCTGCATGTAGTCTCTGCCCTTTCTAGACTCGGCGGGGGCGGGGGGGTGGGGGTGCTTCAGTTACCTGTGAGTGTGTGGTTATGAGGCTGCTCCCATTTTTTAAAGCTTAGCTTAGGAGGCAAGCCTCCTGTTCTCGAGTCTCAGGAAGGAGATGGCCATGCTGAACACCACTAGGGATGGCCGTTCTCCTGGCCTCCCTGCTCAGCTGTCCAGCTAGCTCCCAGCTTGTTTCTTTTGTTTTCTTTTTGTTTTTTTTTGTTTTTTTTTTTGAGGAAGACTGGCCCTGAGCTAATATCCATGCCCATCTTCCTCTACTTTATATGTGAGATACCTGCCACAGCATGGCTTGACAAGTAGTGCCCTGTCTGCACCAGGGATCCAAACCAGCAAACCCCGGGCCACCGAAGCGGAACGTGCGCACTTAACTGCTGCGCCACTGGGCCAGCTCCCCGCTTTGTTTCTTGCAAACAGATACACCCCTGTTACTGTGGGCTGAGTTGAGAAAAGTGGGAGGGAGAGCACAGCAGGGGAAAGCCCTGAGGGCAGCCCTTCCCTGTCCCCATGGTACCTGTTCCCATGCATGATGGATTTAACTTCAGAAGCACCAATGAGATAACTGTATTTGTTTATACAAGGCCTAAATATTTTGGCTGTTTCTCTTTCTAGTAAACCACACTGGTCAAGACAAAGGTGACACTTAGAAGATATCGGTAGTTGACTTTGATTTGGGAAGACAAATGAAGGGGACCCCTAGTCTTGTGAGTGTTTGGAGAAACCCCAGGTACCCAGGGAACCACCCCAGAGGAACTAGGCAGCAGCCCACGCAATCTGGAGGGAGGGCAGCCCAGGACCGCGGGTGTCAGCTGGGGAAGGGGACGGCCTGTGGAAATCTGCTCAGAGGGCTCAGAGCTGCTGCAGGGTGGGGGCAGCGAGGAGTGGGGACACTCTGCCTTCTCCTGTCTGGGTTTTCTTGGTCTTGCTGGGTATAGTAGCTATCCTTAATCCTTGAAAATCATCTGAGAACTTTTACTTCGGGTCAGTGTGGCCTGAGAAGCTGGGGTTACACAGCAAGGGAGGCTGGAATGTGCCTAAAATGAAATACTAGTTAGAGCCACTGAAAAGATTGGATTTAGTAGTAAGTCATATAATTAGTGTGAAAGTGGTTTTTCATTCTTTTTGTTAAAGTTCTACATGCACATGATTAAAAAAATCAAGAACAAAAAGCCTTATAATGAAAGACTCCATTCCTTCCCCGTTGGGACTCCTGTCTTTAGCTTTCCCCCGAACGTCTGCTGTGTGCCGCTAGGAATTGCTGGTTATTTTATCTGGGAGGCTGGAGCACAGGCTCACTCCAGACCTGGGAGGCAGCATGCCGGTTGTTTTGCTCCAGGAAGCAGCTCCTGGGCCGTTGGTAACCAGGGCAGCTTTTTCCAGTTGGGCATGGTCAACCTAAGCCGGCACAGCCCTTTTCTCAATCCTCATACCACACCTTGTCTTTAAGTGTCATAACCAGCCTCCCCTACTCTGGGCTCCTCACTCGCTCTGATTCCATGAGCTCCTGCTGCATCTTCTCGTTTGCTTTCCTCCCAGGGTCCTTGAAGGGCTTCAGCCTTAATACTCCAGGGACTCCATCTTTCTATACTGCTCTTCACCCAAGTGACCTTGCAGCAGAGCTGGGTCAGCTTTCGGGACATCTGCCTGTTTGCTGAAGCCTTGTAAATCTCTCTCTGACCTTGTTCTCTCCCTTGAGCTCTTGACCTTCACATCTATCTGCCTGTCGCTATTGTCCCTTGGAGTTCCCTAGGAGCTCCTTGAATCATTCCCAAACTGCTCATCTCTCTCCAGACCTGGTCCTCCTCTCCTGTCACCTATCTCGGTTAAAAGGTCTCCCCAGAGTCGTGGGAACCACCCTAAACTTCTCCCTCGCACCCATCCCCAGTCCAGTTAGTCATTGAGTCTGAACTCCACCCCCAACCCTTCTCTGAAAAGGCACTTCCCTCTTCAATCCTACTCCCTCTTCCTGAGCACCAGCTTCCCTCTCTCTGTACTTCAACCATGACGGGATAGATCTGGAAGGGAGAGGGCCAGAGTGGGTTAGAAATAGGATGACAGTTCCCACCAGAGACCACACTCAGAAGCAGGTGTTGAGACCATTGCCAGGTTCCTGGCTCAGAGCGGAGGAGGGCTCTTGGAACTAGGACAGAGGGATACAGCAAAACCCACCCCACGTTTTCTAAGTCTGCTGCCCTTGGCGTTCTGGGCTGTTTTCAGCCCGCATGCCTAGTAGCACATACGAAAAACAGCCTATCTGTGCTGTGCAAAGCAGGCCCGGGACGCAGGCGACTTTCCCCCATGGGGTGAGCAGTGCTGCCTCGGTGCACTGACATTCTGACACTAACTGCCCGGGGTTGAGCCAAACCTCACAAGTGCCCAGTCCTCCAGAGACTCCTCTGCAGACACCAGCCACAAGCTCAGGGGTTCCCAGGCCACTCGCCTTTGTGACCAATGTAGAGGACGGAAAATTCTTCTCGACCCTCTTAGGGTCCCTGGCTGGGTCTAAATAATTGAACTGACAGATTAACAGGACAAAAACAAATTTATTTAATAGAAGTTTTACATGATCCAGGAGCCTTTATAAGGAAATGAAGATCCAAAGAAACAGACCTGAGTCTTTCATGCTAGGTTTGAGGAAGAGTGGCCGGTCGTGGAGGAGTGTGGCAGGCTGAGGAGGAGGAGGTCGTTGTTAGTAGACTAGGGGACGCTCAGCCAGGCCTGTCGCTGAGGATTCTTCTGGTATCTCGTTGTTTCTAGGGACAAAGATGCTTCTTTCCTCGGTGTAGGGAGGGCACCTCACATGGGAGGGTTTATGGCCTGCTTCAGGGAAGAGGGGCAATGGAAGCAGAGGAGGACAGAGGGACCTTCCTGCTTCTGCTGTTTCTCAAACTTCTTGCCTTTACAATATTCAATATGCCAAGGTGCCGTGATTTGGGGTAGCATATTCTGAACCCTGTCACCAACTAGCCACAAATTCAGGGGTTCCCACAACCCACACAGGCTTGATAATTTACTAGAATGACTCCCAGAACTCAGGAAAGTGCTATACTTACTGTTTTATTACAGCCATAACAGGATACAAATCAGGACCAGCCAAGAGAAGAGACACATGGGGACAGTCTGGGAGGGTCCCAATCATGCAGCTACCATGTCCTGTCCCAGGGGGTAGGACATGTCACCCTCCTAGACATGGATGTTACCAACCAGGAAGGTCCCTTCAGCTTCGGTGTCTGGAGTTTTTATTGGGGTTTCATCATGTAGCACGATTGGTTAGATCACCGGCCACGTGACTGAACTCAGTCCAGCTCCCCTTCCCGTCTTAAAGCCCCAGCCCTCTAATCACATGGCTGGTCTTCTGCTGTGGCCAGCCCCCATCCTAAAGCCACCCAGGGGTCCACCGTGGGTCACCACTTTAGCACAGACTATCAGGACCCATCATGAATAACAAGGACTTCCATTACTTGGGAATTTCCAAGGATTCAGAAGCTTCCTATCTAGGGAACCCTTCACCTTCCTGACTCCCAGTGAGCGACCCGCCTTGGTGGCTGTATACACACTCCCAGCAGCTGGGGTCTCAGGGTCCTTTCAGGAAAATGGCCTTGGGACATTTCTATTCACCTCCTTCCTTGCACCCCACTTAGCACACTCATTTGCTACAATCCGAAGCAGTGAAGGAGGGATAATAATCAGAGGTGATCACACAGTAGGGTGCAGCTCTTTCACGGGAATTTCCCCATGCTGTGTAGATGCAGTTGCAGTGACCTGCACCCAAACATATCCTGCGCAGGTAACCCGTGCCTTTGAGCCCACATCAGTATGTCCATACACATGTAGAAATGTCCACGCTCACGATGGGGCACACACTATTCATATCACCTCTCTTTAACACTCCCCACCCCATGCCCAGAACTAATGCCCACCCTGCATACCTGTACGGCTGTTGGCCAGCTTCCGGCTCACCCTACGGAACTCCTCAATGAACGTGTGCAGTGTTTTGCCGAGAGGTAAACATGGCAGTAGGGAGACTGGTGAGGAGGCCCTTGCCGTGTCTAGGTGAGATGTGGCTGTGGCTTGCACTAGGGTGGGGCACTGGAGGCCGAGTAGACAGGTTTGCATTACAGCTTGGAAGTGGAATGGGTAGAACTGACAGGTCGATGGATTTTGGGCTAAAGGGAGAATGTAGGATTACTCCCACGGCCTCTGTTTGAGTAGGCAAGTTGATGAGATGAGTTGGCAATAAATGGGGGAGGAACAGGTTTTGGGGGTAGCCCTCCCCATCTGCTGTAAGTGCTATTATACATTCCTGCTTCCACAGAGGGCAGGCCAGAGGATGGGCATTGACCTGGTGTTCCCAGAGCACCTCGAGCTTGTGCCACCCTTACCATCCAGCACTTACTACAGTGTATCTTAATCATTTCCTCTAACTGTATCTACCTCCTCCCAAGCTGCGAGCTGCTTGTGGGCAGGCCTCAAGTCTTCATCTTTGTGTCTTTGGCCCCCAAGCCCTGTACCTGTAAACCCTCAAAAAGTGGTGACTGAGCAGAGAGGCAGCCCTAGCAGTGTGGTGTGGCTCTCAGGCTCTGGTGGCAGATGGGCTTGGATTCAAATCATAGCTCTGCTATCTATTTGCTATGACCGCAGGTAATTTACTTACCCAAGCCTCAGTTCACTCACCTGCAAAATGGGTATAGTAATAGTACCTATATTAGACATATTTTAAGGATTAAATGAAATAATTCATATTAAGTTCCCAGAAGAGTTCCTAACATACGGTAAGGGTCCAATTAATGTAATATATTAGGTTGAAACAGATTAAATTTGCCATTGAAAAAGGATCTTTATTGAGATAAAATTCACATACCTAAAATTCATCCATTTAAAGAGTGTGATTCAATAGTTTTAGCATGTTCACTGAATTGGACAAGTATCACCATGATCTATTTTTGGAATGTCTTCATCCTCACAAAAAGACTCTATACCCTTTGAGCAGTCCTCCCCATTCCGGCTTACACCCAGCTGTAGCCAACCACTGATCTATATTCTGTCTCTATAGATCTGCCTACTTTGGATACTTCACATAAATAGAATCAGGCGACATATGATCTTTTGTGCCTGGCTTCTTCCACTCGGCATAATGTTTTCAAGGTTCATCCATGTTGTAACATATATCACTATTTCATTTCTTTTTATTGCTGAATAATATTCCATTCTATAAATATACCAGATTTGGTTTATCCACTCATCAGTTGATGATTGTTTCCACTTTTTGGCTATTGTGAATCATGCTGCTGTGAACATTCATGTACAAGTTTTTGTGTGGGTGTATGTTTTCCTCTCTCTCGGGCACATACCTAGGAGTGGAATTGCTGGGTCATATGAGAACTCCACTTAACTCTTTGTAGAACCGCCAGACTGTTTTCCAAAGTGGTTGCACCATTTTGCCTTCCCAGCTACTATGTGTAAGGTCCTACTTTCTCACCAACACTTATTTCTGATTGTGATAACACCTATCTCTGATTGTAGACATCCTAGGGGATGTGAAGTGGTTTCTCATTGTGGTTTTGATTTGCATTTCACTGATGGCTAATGTTATTGAGCATCTTTTCATGTGTTTAGTAGCCATTTATATATTTTGTTTGAAGAAATGTCTATTCAAATCCTTTGCCCATTTTTAAATTGGGTTGTCTTTTTATTATTAAGTTGTAAGAGTTCTTTATATATTCTGAATACTGGTCTCTTATCAGATATGTTATTTGCAAACATTTTCTCCCCTTCTGTGGGTTGTCTTTGCACCTCCCTGATTATATCATTTACAACACGAAAGTTTTTAATTTTGATGTAATCTAATTTATTTTTCCTTCTGTAGGTTGTGCTTTTGGTGTCATGTCTAAGAAAACATTGCCTAATCCAAAGTCATGGAGATTTCCTCCTATGTTTTCTTCTAATGGTTTTCTAGTTTTAGCTCGTACATTTAGGTCTATGACCCATTTAAGTTACGTTTTGTGTGTGATGTAAGGAAGGTGTCCACCTTTGCATGGGAGTAGCCAGTTGTCCCAGCACCATTTGCTGAATTGATTATCCTTTCCCCCATGGAATTTTTTGGTAAATTGCCATTTTTGAAGGTCATGCTGGGTTGAATATAGATAATTTCATAGGGAACAGTTTACTTTCATTACAGTATTACCATGAAGGAAGCAAAACGAGAAATAACTGCAGTCTCTGGCTTGGCCACGAGATGTCAGCAGTCTCCCAGATTCTATCCCTTTCCGCTGAGCTACTCCAAAATGTGGTTTTAATCAAGTATCCTCCACAAGAATCTTTCACTGTCTTTCTCTAACCTCCTGATAACCCTGACTTTGGCCACCCCAGTGTTGCACATCTTAGTCCCCTACTTTTTAGTAAAAAACCTGGAGTTTTCTGTTCTCTGGTGGAGAGTGAGGTAGGAGGGGGATCATGGTTTGGGCTCCTGGAGTGAATGTGAAATAGAATCAGTTATAAAAGTACTCCAAGTTCGTTATAGAGCTGCGGACCATGTGATCCAGCTGTTCTCAACTGTTAAAAAGCCTGATGGAAGTGCAACTCACCCGCCACAGGGTGGCACAGCTCAGCTACAATGTCAAGGCTTCTTAGCTCCTGGCTGATTTTATTTTCGTTCAGTGTAGTAAAAAACATTGCTATTTCTTTGTTGATCAGAAGCACTGATTGATAGTCATGTATGATTTTGACTAATAAAAACAGGTAAATGAGACATTATTTAATACACAGCAAAGGGAACATGAGAGTGACATGTTTGGAAGCCTCTGCCACCGTGATGTTTTAGGCACATTAGACGTGTGATGTCTGCCGCCCTCCCTGCCCTTCTCCTCCACTGGTGTGATAAGCTCCTCCAAGGCAGGCCTCACCCCCCTCTCCCCACAGGACCCTCTGTTGCTCCCACAGCCTTTCTGACATGGATTGAGGAGTCCTTGGGCCCCTCACCCCTCCTGCATCTCCCACCTCCTGCATCTGTAGGCCCCTGAACCCCAGCATCAGAGCTGGTGGTATACCCTGTTTTCTCAATGCACACTAACCAAACTGTCCTAAGGGAGCTGTGAGGCTGGGATGCAGGAAGAGGCCGCTGGCACAGCAGCCTTCCCCATGCAGAGAGCTGTGCTAACCCGAAGCAAGTCTTCTCTCAGCACTCTGGGAGCTGTTACCATCTGTCCATCAGCAGCTTCAGGGAGCCAGGAGTGATGACCTGGACCCATTCAGGGAGAGGAGAAGGGGAAGGAGTCCCCACTTTGATGTGAGTAAGGAGGTCAGGGAGGGAGCAAGAGGTGAGGGCCGGGGCGGGGCTGTGGAGGGAGACAATCTCCTCTCCCATCACAGGCTTTGTGGGGAAGACGCCAGCTTGTCTTCGTCACCCCTTTCATCTCTCCGTCCTCTGGGGCCAGTTCTCCACCTAAGCCTTTGGGCTGCTCTGGGCTCCTTGTCCCAAACCTCCAGCCTGTGGCCCCCGTGGCCTGCTGTTCATGGTGCGCCCTGGGCCAGCTTACCCACCCTCTTCGCAGTGGGAGTAGGGAGTGGGTTGGGGGAGTGGCACTGGGAGGGGACCATCTGGGTGGGGGCCAAACCCTTCTACTTCATTTGGAGTTGACTCTAAGGGGCAGGTAGTAGTTACTTCATGCTGGAAACACCCAGTTCTGAGAGTCAGAGAAGAGGATTCTCTCATTGGAATCAGGAATCTCAGTGTGGGGAGGGACCTCAGAGGTCATGGGCTCTGCCTTCAACCATATTTCCAACCGGCAGCTGCCAGGCCTGGTCTGACACGCTCATGCTGCAAGGAGTTCACCCCCTCCAAGGGTTCCCACACTCACTGGTGGGGAAGAGAAGATGAGGGAGGGGAGGGATGCAGAAGACAGAAGGATAGACAGGAGGGAGGGCTGCTGGCTCTCCTGAGCTTGAGTCCTTGGAGTCACACACACATACACACACACGCACGCACACACACCAGCACCTCCTTGAGCCAGGACTGAAAAGCTGCCAGCTCATCCTGGCCCAGCCAGGGAGTCTGGCCTTTTTCCTGTCTAAAGTTACAGAATTTTCCAGAAGTTTCCCTGGTGTTTTTTTTTTCTGGAGTTATAAACCAGATTTGCCCTGTCCTCTACTTCTCTGGCCTAGGGAAGAAAAGCCAAAAAGGAAAGAGAGCAGGACAGAGGGCCTGTGACCCCTCCCAAGGCATACCCTGCCTTCCCTCCCTCCCAGCAGTGACAGTAACTTCAACGTTCGACGTTTGTTGCCCACACAGAGCCTCTTAGTGTATTAGCTTAATTAAAGCTCTCAGTGATAGCCTATGAGCAACAAGCTATTCTCCCTCATTTTCATTTCTGTTTTACAGAGGAGGACCCTCTGGCTCCCTGAGGTCACGTCTGGTGCACAGCAGAACCAGATTTTGACCCACGTCTGTCAGGCTTCAGAGCCCTTGGCCCTGCCCTGCATTTGCCAGGGGTACAGGTATCTTCGAGGTCAACAAAGAAGTCCCAGTTATCCTCTTTCCACCCTTTCCGGATCCTGACCTGGATGGACAGCAGCCCTGAGAAGAGAGCGGGGTGTGAGCCTGGAACAGAAGGAACGTCTTACGATGGGAAGATGATTCACTTGTGCTATTTTTATTCTGCCGACAGCGGCGTCACCACCTCTCTGGGCCTCAGTGTCCTGGCCTGTGAAATGAGTGGGAAGAGACAACGCCTGCAATCTCAGCTCGAGACACTCTCTGAGAGCCTTTCTAGTTGCAGGCCCCTGAGTCTCATTATGCCAAGAAACTGATTTCGGAGAAGAAATAGCCGCCTCAGCCCCCTGCCGGGAACCCACAAATTCAGCGTCGCAGAGTAGGGCAGTGAAGTAACTCAATATTTGGATCCAGCTCAGGAGTCTTCCCTGTCGTTGGAGTGGAACCTCCCTGAAGGGAGGTCCCCGCCCCTGGGCCCGGAGGGATGGGCCCCCCGCCCCAGTCCTGGGCAGCAGGTTCTGACCTGATCGTTCCTGAGCGGGACAGTGAGAGCAACAGGACCTGCTCACGTGAGTGCTTACGCTGTCCTGGGCACTGTGCGGTGTGTTTTATCTGTGCCATCTGATTGAATCCTCACAGCCGTTCCAAAGTGGGTATTTTAGAGACCAGGAAATCGAGTGAAGCAGGTTGCCCCACGGCCCGCAGCTTGGAAGGGAGGAGACTGAGACCAGAGCACACCCTTGTGTCCATCGTGCCATCGAGCTGTCTAGTCTCAGCTGGCTCATAGATTTCCACCAACTTTTCTGGAGGGGAGCAGGTCTCAGGTTAGGCTCTTTAGGCCATTAGTATGTTTTCCTAGAGTCCCCAGGGTATGGAGAACAGCCCTAACTATGCTTCCTTACTACACTTTTGGGGAGAAGTAGGATGGGAAAGGGGAGCCGGCTCCTCCCCTGTGAGCAGAGGCTGCAGTTCCAGGCTAGACGTGGGGACGCCTTGGCTTAGGAGTTGCCAAGTGACACCCAAGCAGTTTGGCCCCAGGAGTGAATGTCAGGAGCCCCCAGGGCAGCTCAGGAGCTGGCCCTGAGGACCGGTGGGAACACAGGTGTTCCCCAGACCAGATTGTCCACCAAAGATGGAGCTGGAGACCAAGACTTGGGAGTGGAGGACATGGCAGAGACCCCCAGCCAAGGCCCCCGGCCTGGAAGCGAACAGATGTGAGAGAGAACACAGCATTGCCACAGCCCTGAAGGGCCTGGGTTGCTTGAGGAGTGTGGGGTGGTTTGCAGATGCTGGCATGAAGCCAGGGCTCTTTGGGTCCTGAGTTGAGGGCCAGAAGCACAGGATACCAGGGTTACAGGAACCTCCCAGATCTGGCATCAGTTCCTTTCTGTGTCCCCAAATCAGGGAAGGGGGTGGTTGAGGCTCTACGTCAGAAGCTTTATTTCTTTCCCATCCTCCCAAGCAAGTTCACTCAGCACCAGCATCACTCCTTCCTGGGCAATTTAGCTGCTGCCAGCGCTGCTCTCTGGAGCAGGGAGTGGGGAACAAGAGGCAGAGTAGGAAGGAGAGCAGAGGGGAGAGCCTGGGGCAGGGGGGATGCCAGCGGCTTTGTTCCCCGTGCCCACCTTTAGGGAGGGTGGGGTGGGGTTAGCAGTGGCCCCACGGCCTATCTGACAAGCAGCCCTCTGTCTGTCCTCACCTCCCCAGCATGACTGGGGGCTGTGACAAAAGCTGTCAGTGCTGGTGTCCTGTCCCAGCCATCGCTGACAAGACCAGGTAGCTCAGGACACCTGGGGAAGGCAGGGCTGGAAGAGCAAGGTCCAGGACCCCCTTGGGGAGGAGGGCAGATGGGAACACAGCAGCCTTTGTGCGCTGACCAGTGCTGGTCACAGGCTGCTTCCTGTGAGGGGCTCTGTCCCTGTCCTCCTCCCCACACTTGGACTTTGCACTGTTCCCCTGGTACCCACTCAGGGCCAGGCACTGAGCCTCTCCAGAGAGCCCATCCTGGAGGGTGTGAGGACAGGGACAAGCTTCAGGGTGAAGCAAGTGACAGGGACCGTCCTGGCGTTGGTCGGCTGCCTGCCCTCCCTGGCCCCTCGTGTCAGCTCTCCGCCGGACAGATGCCAACCAGCCTGCCGCCAAGCACTGCAGCTGAACTGGGAGAGTCTGTGAACTGGGGGAGATGTCCCCATGGGTGGGATGCCTGGGGGCTCCCAGACCTTGTCTTTCCCAGAGGCTCTTGTTCCTGATACCCCATGGACAGCCCCCCCTACCTGCCCAAGGCTGCTGTGGGTGGACCACTAGCAGTCCCCACGACCCCACTGGCCTGTCTCAGGGCGTCCTTGCCTGTAGGTGGGACCTCACAGAGAGGATGGGGAAGCTTGACGCTGCGTCTGGGGTTGCAGGCGGGAGAATGGGAGAGGGAGGCCACTGATAGCACAGCACTCAGGCCTGCCCCCCAGCACTGAGGTCAGGAGCCCTCATAACAGGGTCAAGCTCCAGATAGTGCTGGCTGCCCATCGTCTGTCTGTCTGCCTCTGTCGTAGTTTCTGCCATGGTCTCTCTTTCTCTCTGTTGTGTGTGTGTGTCTCTCTGTCCATCTCTCTCTTTCTCTCACAGCCTTTGTATACGTTCATCCCTCTGCTGTTTTCCCTATTTAGAGCCTTTTCCTTTCTGTTTGGACTGGAATCTTTCCCTCGCTGGTGCTCTTTCCCTTCATTTTTTCTCTCTTGGGTCTGTCTCTCCTTTGTGTTAATGTCCCTTCTCTCCTCTGGGTGGCAGCTTCAGCCTCCCTTTCACCAGGAGAGGCCTAGTGGCAGGCTCACTGGATACCCTTCACAGAGACCACAGCACTGATGGCACCCTCTTCTCTGGCACCCCGAGCCTGGGGCCCCTGTAAGCTGTAACTGCTCCCCAGCTGAGTGACCCCTCTCAGTACCAGCCACGCCTGCTCTGCTAGCGTTCCCAGGCCGGCCCCTGGCCCTCCTTCCAGGGCCTGCCTCCCCACGCGCCCTGTATGGAAACACTGGCGCCTCCACCCCCTCAGGGCTGTCATCAGCCCTGTCCTGAGTCCCAAGTTCTGTGTCTCTCTGTTGTGAAGGGGTGGGGGGAGGGGTGGCTGAGGAGAAGGGCTTTCTGTCTGCCCTGTTCCTGGGGACCATCCTGAGGATGACTTTAGAGTCAGATTCCTTCCATGGTTCACAAATTGGCTTGAAGACTGAAAAGGAAGGGGCAAGTCTAGCCGCCTCACCACCGGCCTAAAGCCCCTCAGCGGCTTCCACTCTTCCTCAGAGTCTGGAATCTGTCCAGGAAGGCCTGTGTAGGCCTGGCTCCCACTCCTGGGGTAACTGTGACCCCTTCATCGCCTGTCACTCCACCTTCTTCCTCCTCAGATGGGGCCTGGTGCCCCTACTCACGGCCCCGCCCTCTCTTTGGCTTCTCTCACCGGCATGCCCCCATGGCCTGGCTAGGGCCCCTCCTTCAGGGCCTGGTTTAAATGTCCCTGCCCCAGGAACCACCGCCCCTCTCCACCTGCTAGGTCCTCTGCGCACCCCATCGCTGGGGATCGCTCCCTGGTCTACCCCATTTGATCCTCTCAGCAGCCCCTCTTGTCTGGGGAAGGGAGCCGAGCACGAGAGGGGGACAGCAAGTCACCGGCACAGCCAGGGTTCAGCTCCCGGTGGGTGACCTGCCTTCTGCACGCCACCTCCTCGGGAATTCCTGAAGGAATCAGCTCTCATTTCCAAGCCTGAGTTGTCTTATGGCTGTCAAAATGCCAGTTTATGCATTTATAAATGCCCGAGTTTCACAAATCAAACATTTGTTGAGCAAGTTCTCTACCCCAGGCCTTGGGCTAGTTTGGGGTCCTGGACTCGCCAAAGGGAGTGTGGGTGGGCATGTCCAGAATGTCACCTGTCTGCCTCTGGACCACTTGTTCTCCAACCAAGTGTCTATGTTGACGCCCAGCCAGGGCTGAGGGGAGGAGGGGGCAGCGTGGCATGTGTGGGGTGGGCTGTGGGGCGAGGGCTGGGGGGAGGGAGACTGGGTTTAATGAGGTGACTGCCACTTGTAAATGAAACAGAAGGCGGAGCAGCTTGTGTGAACTTTGACCTCTCCTGTCTGTCTCCCCTTTCATCGGGAGCTTTACGAGCAGGAGCAGCCGCCTGGCCCAGAAGGGACCCACCACAGCCTGGGGAAGGCAAGCTGGGGCTGGGGATGCTCAGCTCCAGAGCGAGGAGAAGCAGGGCTGGGGCCAGAGGTGCGGGCCGGGGCTCATCGGAGCCCCTGCACCTCGCTCTCCCTAGCAGACTGCAAGCCTGGAGATGTCTAAAAATGCAAATTCCCAGGCCCCATCCCTGGAGTTTCTGTTCAGTAGGTTTGGGGTGGGGCTTAGAAATCTGTATTTTTAAAAAGCTCCCACAGTGATTCTTCAACTCAGCCAAGTTTGGCAACCACTGTCTTGGAACACACGGCTATGTCAACTGGCAACAGAATCTTCAGCTCACAGGCATAGGAAACTCCAGTCCTCAGGGACAATCATTGGTTCCATGTACTGTGTGTCCCCAAGCGTCAGACACCGTGCTAAGTGCTTTACAGCCACTATCACATGGGGCCCGCCACAGAATCCTCCAAGGTTGACGGCATTACCTACTCTTCACAAATGGGACAGAGGTTAAATAACTGTCCCAGGGGACACAGAACTGAGATTTGAAAATGGTTCTAGGGGCCAGCGAGGTGGCCTAGTGGTTAAGTGCACACGTTCTACTTTGGTGGCCCAGATTCTGGGTGTGGACATGGCACCGCTTGGCAAGCCATGCTGTGGCAAGTGTCCCACATACAAAGTAGAGGAAGATGGGCATGGATGTTAGCTCAGGGCCAGTTTTCCTCAGCAAAAAGAGGAGGATTGGCAGCAGATGTTAGCTCAGGGCTAATCTTCCTCAAAAAAGGAAAAGAAAATGGTTTTACCTGACTCCCATAGTTCTGTTCTTAAGCAGATGCTATCCCATCGCTTTTAGGGACCTATGTAAAGATCACCGTTCACGTTGACAAGTCCAGTATGTAGGCCGCCAGAAATCACTGTCTGACTGCATTCTGAATACTGTCCGGGCCAGCTTTGGACTTTGTGATTGAAGACACGGGTGGAGACACTGCCCCGTCTTGTTCGCGACTGCATGCCCAGTGCCTAGCACAGCCTGGTGCCTAGGGAGTGCTTCATAAACACTAAATAGGTAGTAAATACCGTGAAAAAGAATAAAATAAAAAGGATCCTCGATACAAAGTATAAGGCAGCCCCTTCTACACTGGATGCCCCTTCATACAACAAAAGAGTTTTTCCTCTTTTCTGAGCAGAGGAAGTGAGTTTGGCTAAAAAGGAGAAGGTTCTGGGGCAGGAGCCTGGGCATGCAATTCGAGAGGGGCACAGGCACAGGAACAGAAGGAATTCCCCCCTCCCATCTGCCCACGACCTCCTGCCTGCAGCAGCAGGCCGGCTTCACTGGGATCCGCCCCCTCCCGCAACTCTTCTGGAAAGGGGGTTCCCAACGCGCCCACATCCGGAGCCCAGGCTCGC